GACTCCAGTTGTCCTACTGTGCTTGCACCAAATGAATCTTCCTCGGCTGAGCCCAGATGATGTCCACACTTAACTGCTTTCCTTCTTGGCCTCGTGATCTGCTCTGTGCAGCCTCTGCTCCATTTAGGCAAGTGGGCCATTCCCTGTTCCTACCGGATCCTCCCACGTTCCCCTCTGTGCTTCAGGGTTCTGAGCTTCTGCCACTGGGAATTTTCTCCCGGTCTATCTCCACCTTTCAAAATCCAACCATTTACATTATTCAGGGTTTTGGGTTGCAAAAAGAGAAAGTGCCTCTGGGTACCTTAAGCAGAACAGGAGAATTTACCAGAAGAATATCAAGCAGCTCACAGGGGAGCTGGAGAGCAGAAGGGGTGAGAATCGAGCTAGCTAATTCCTGAGGGAGGGACGTGCTGGGACTATTTCAGCAATGGCAAATTGAATCTCACCCTCCCTTGTCCTTACATCCTCTCCAGTTTCACAGTCTTGAGTGGGAGGGCTCCTCTGGCCAATCACAGGCCGTTCACTCTCACAGGACTTCTGGGAATGGAAGGACCGAGGTGCCCACTCTGCTTCCCTCCGGGGTTCAGACAGGCCCCTCTAAAACCAGGAAGGGGCTAGATGAGGGGCAGCTGAATTAAAGGCAGCTTCCCACCACGTCATTTCTCAAGGTCATTGCCAATGCCACCAGCTTTCATAAAGCCTTTTATGATTCTCTAGACATATTTTGTTTGGTACTGTTCATATTTAGTTTTACATTATAGCTATTCATATGCTGGTTTCATCCTTCCTTTTGGGTCTTTCCTCTCCATTTCTCCTAAACCGTTTTTCCATCCATTCACTCGACTCCAGTTTGCGTTATCACCTCTCTGAATGTTGCAGCCTTACATCTGCTCTTCCTACATCATCCAAATGAATGAATCCTGAGCTGGATCTTACAATGCCTTACAAAAAGAACTATACCAGACATGCTTAATTGAATTGAAGGTTAAGAGAGAAGGTCACGAGGAAGCAGACATGAGTGTTTACCATGTGCTGAACACACAGTTGAGACATGTTTGCATTATCTCCTTTAATTCCCACAACCCTTTGCAAGAGTACTATTACTATCTGAGGCTCAGAAATGACCCCAAGGCACAGGTTCGAAGGTAGGCTTTGCGCCTCTGAAGTCTGCTTCGGCAGGACCCTCAACCTTTGCTTTGTGTTTCCCATGAGTCCAAAGAGGGGTTAGAGACGGCCTTGAATGGAGCTCTGAGAGAGAAGGAGCGGGACAGGGAATTCCCAGCCGCCTTCACACCACAGAAGGCTGAAACTAGCGTGATTCAGTGCGGCACTGTGGGCAGAGCTGAGTGACTGAAGCAAATAGCTTATACTGGATAGAGGTAAAAAGGAGATTGTTATGATAGGGCTAAGTTTGAGAGGCCTTTGGAAGAGAGATCATAAGATGTAATGCTATTTTAGGCAAAAGTGTACTGTGTGCCCTTCCACTCTGTTTTTTATGCTTTCAATACTTTGTGATTGAAGACAGTAAAACAGATGTGATTAATGGAGTAGAATACAGGAAAACCTATACATTTTCAGATAAAACATAAGCTTCAAAGAAATGTCTCCCCCATACTGAGCGTTGCAGTGGGTTGGATATTGGCCCCAAAAGATATGCTCACCAGGAAGCTGAGGATGTGACCTTATTTGGAAGAAAGATCTTTGCAGATGTTGTAGGATAAGAATGTTAAGATGACATCACGCTGGATTAGGGTGAGCCCTAAATTCAATGATAACTTGTCTTTATAAAAAGAGAGAAGGGAGAGGACACAGGGAACCAGGTTGTGTGGTTCTGTGAAGACAGAGAGGCAGACTTGGGAGTGATTACTGTCACAAGCCAAGGAACACCTGCAGCCACCAGAAGCTGGAACAGGCAGGGAAGGAGTGTCCTCTACAGCCTTCCTCCGAAGAGGCTGGTGTCTTGAATTCAGAATTCTAGAACTTTGAGAAAATAGCCTCTGTTTTATCACCTAGCTTGCAGTCATTTGTTAAGGGAGCCGCAGGAAACTAACACAGGCCTCTTGGGGCGAAATCCCCCAGCCTCTCTTGGGGAAAATGCTCAGTCTTCTGTCATCAGATGACTTTTGAGGAGACTGTGGTGAGCAACGTGGAGCCATGGAAAGTTCTTGAGCACAACCAGGGAAAAATGGAAGCAATCTATAGAAAGGTTAGGATGACGCTGATGTCCAGTGTAAATCTGAGGGATAGAAGAAGTAATGGGAGATCAGTTGGAAGGCAGTAGGTATGGGGAAATGAACAAGAGTTTTGGAATCAGGTATGCGCAGTTCTGACCCCAGTTCTTTGATCCACTATTGAAGTGATTTCATCTGTAAAACAGGGATAATACTACTGTGTGTGGATTAGAGATGATATACGTCAAGAATTCAATCAAGGTACATTTCAAGTCTCGCTAGGAATGATGTGAAAGTTAGGATGCCAGTGATGGAAATGGAAAGGAAGGTGTAGTCAAAAAGATGTTTAAGAATCACCAGGACTCAACCATGGGGATAGACTGCAAGGGGTCCTGGCGCCATTCAGTCCTCTCCTGGCTTTTCTTGGGCAGAACTTGGAGACAGGGAAGATGGCACTGAGGTTTCTCCCGGGAGCTGAGGGGCCTGGGAGACTCTTGGCCAGGCCTGAAACCGTGAGCGGAGGAGCTGGTCTGGGAAGGAGACGAGTTTTCATTCTGACCGTGGTGACGCAGAAGAGATGCTGGGCCATGTGTAGCAAGTGAAGATTCGTTGGGAGCTCTGCAGATTCGCTGGGGAGCTCTCTATGGCTACAGGTCTGGGAGTTAATCAATGAAGGTTTAGACAGGGAGCATACAAAAAATAGTCAACTCTCCCTCTCTCTCTCTCTCTCAAATACAAAGGTGTATATGGAATAAAAATAAAGGGCCACTCTCTGCCTTGGGGATATAACTTTTAGATGGTGGGAAGACAACAAACTCTGTAGAGGAGGCAGAGATGGGCAGGTCAGAAAGGTAAGAGAATCAGAACTGGCTGTGTTTGATGAATGAAAAGATGATGGTGTTTCAGGAAATAGCAGAAATGCCACATATTTTAGAAAACTGCATAGTTATTGATAGAGAGCCACTGGATTTAGATCGAGAATGACATCGGTGACTTTCTAAAAAGTCAGAGAAGGAAAAGGCATGCAAGAACCATGATTCATTGAAAATTTACAAAGCAAACAAGCTAAAAACTGGGTCAATATTGTTATACTTCTTTTGAGAAAACTAATTTAAAATTGGGCTGACTAGAATTCTTCTTTCCTTATTGTAAACTAGGTATTATTAACACAAGACTTTTCCAAAAGGATGAACTTAAGTAGCTTCTTTCACAAGGTCAAACAAAGGGAAAAAAGGCTGTTCCGATTCCCTGAGCTTGTATCTGATCCCTGCTCAGCGTACTGCGCCTCCTTCCACTTAATGAGCTATTGAGGGCTACCTACTGCCAGGGTACTTCACATAGGAGTTAGGTAAATATTATCTCCTGGTCGGGAGCGGTGGCTTACACCTGTAATTCCAGCATTTTGGGAGGCCGAGGCGGGCAGATCACGAGGTTAAGAGATCGAGACCATCCTGGCCAACATGGTGAAACCCCATCTCTACTAAAAATACAAAAATTAGCTGGGCATGGTATCGGTCACCTGTAGTCCCAGCTACTCCGGAGGCTGAGGCAGAATCACTTGAACCGGGCAGAGGTTACAGTGAGCCAAGATCGCGCCACTGCACTCTAGTCTGGCAACGGAGCAAGACTGTCTTAAAAAAACAAAAACAAAAAAACTCCCCATTTGACAGATTTTAGAAAGGCCAAGGCCCCCCTGTGCGAAATTACACAGTTCAGGAAGTCAACAGTCACTCACCTGTCTGACTGCAAAGCTACACTGACTCTAGTTACCTATCCTAGGATGCTTCCTTTCTGGAAGAGGCAGGAGATGAGTGAATCAAATGATACTGCTTTATAACCTTGGGTAAGTTATTATTGCCTTAATAGTAAGCAGAGACCAGGAGCCTAAGAAAGAATCTTATTAGCATGGATGCAGGCTATCCTGCCAGGAAATCATAATTATTTGAATATTAGAATTTCCTTTGGGAAATCACATGGGGAGGAGAAAAGATCCGGATGAATATGCTTGTGAAAGGGAAGCTTGTGTTTTTCGCCTTGCTCTTAGGTTTTAATCTAAGTTTGTTTACAGGTTAGCCACAACTCGAGGCTTGGTGGGCTGAACTGTCCCACCACTAGCGACATTCTTTCTAGGGGCCCATTCGGGCAGCTCCTCTCCGGGTTCTGCCCCACGGGTGTGCAACCAGGATTCCACTGGCTGGGGCTGGCCTGGATGCCTGCGAGGCAACAGAGGTCGAGTTTCCTCTCCTTCTTTTAGGAAGTGCCTCGGACGGGATGATGGACTAAAAACGTGTCTGGTTGGGAAAGTAAATAGATGCAGGGCAAATAAATAAAAATACCCACAAGCAATTACAGGGAGGAAGTGACATTTTTATACAAGTCACTTTTCTGATGGACAACAGGCCTGCTTCGCTGAGTGCCGTGGGAATGCTTCCGGGACGGGGGCGGCTGCCCAGCAACTAGAGCTTCGTGATAAGAACATCAAACAAATAAAAAAGAGCACGTAAAGCCCACCCTGCAGTCATCCGAGGCTGGAAGTTACCGCTTGGGTTTTCACTCTCCTCCCCACCCACCGCCCGCGCGCAATTTCGGGCGTGGGGACCCTTTCCCGCACCGGACTCCCGGCCCGCGCTGCGCCTGCAGAGCGGAGCGTCCCCGATTCCTGCTCTATACCGGCGCGCTTACCGGGACCCAGACACGGAGCCTGGTGGCGCCGGGGGGCGCCCCAGGTGGGTCTCGGGTCCCCGCCCCGCGCGCCCGGGCCTGGGCCGGCCCCTGGGCGGCGTCACGGCGCGGCCGGGGAGGAGCGCGGGAGGAGGAGGAAGAGCGCGGAGGAGGCGGGCGCTGAGCGCCGGGGGAGGGTCGCCGCCGCCGCCGCTGCCGCCGCCGCCGCCGCTGGGATCGTCAGGCCGGAGCCGCGCGGCCGAGCGGGCGGCTGGCGGAGGGGAAGGCTCGGCGGCAGGGAGGCTCGCGGCGCCCGGGCCGGCGGGGTCCGCCCGGGCCGGCAGCGTCCGCCCGGCGGCGGGAGGAGGGAGCGGCGCAGACAAAGAGCGGCGCCTGGGCGGGCGCAGCGCGGCCGCCGCCCCGGGACCCGCGCCGCTGCCCTCCGGCTCCGCGGGCGGCCCACGGCGAGGTAAGCACTGCCGGGCGGGAGCGGAGCAGGGGCCGCAAACTTGGGGCCGTTGGGCGGAGTTGGGAGCTTGGCGGGGCCCGCGGGCCAGGGCGCTCCCGGGAAGGGGTTGGGAGAGCGGGTCCCCTCCGCGCCCCACCGGTGCTCTCGGCCCCGCCGCGGCCTGGGCGCCCCCGACCGCGGGCTGCCCCGCACCTCCCGGCTCGGCACCTTCCTGCCCGCCTTCCCGTCCCCACCCCCCGCCATCGGGGGCCGGCGCAGGGGCGGGGACGCCCGCCAAGGGCGCAGGCGGGGATCAGGGCAGGGGGCCCGGCGGCGGGGCCCGGGGACTCCAGACCCCCGGGTGTGTAGGCAGCTCCTGGCCTGCTGGCCGGCGGCTGGCACGGAGCTTGGGGCTAGCGTAGGACCGTGCAGTGGCCAGGGTCGCCAGGGCGCGTGTGCTGGGGAAGATAGCCGCGGATCGCAGGGCCCCGGCGCAGGGACCGGGGAGGCCGCGATCGGCCGGGAGAACTTAACTGTGTTTATTACAACTATTTATGATCGCGCACAAAGCTGCTGTCACATCGCATAAAGGAGGTCCTCGCGTCGGCGAAGGGAGCTTTTGTGCCCGGCTTCAGGCTCTGCGCCCTGCCCCAGATTTACAGGACTCTTACAGCCACCTGAACCAAAGTTTCTCACAATTGCTCGGCCTCTCGGTTTCTTTCAGGGCGATTTAACAACGGAGTGGTTCTGGAAACATTTGATGTGTGAGTTTTAAGGCATGGACTACGGTAACTCCCTTAGGAACGCAGTTAGCTTGGCATTGTGTGGAGGGGTTTAATTTGCCACGCACGTTAACTTGTAGACAATAAGGATCTCTGTGAAGGTCTGCTCTGGATGCTAGGGGTCATTGGCTGGTGGACCCCAGGCACCTGACTTAAACTAATATTGTAACAGCTTCAGGGACAAAGCCAAGCGTGCGTGGAGTCGGCCTTGACCACTTCAGACAATTCAGGTTGGCAGATTCCCCTTTATTTGGCTATATTTTACCAACAGGTTTTAAGGTTGCTTCTGCCAAGTTTGTATCTGCATAATGGGATGAGCAGGCCCTAGTGTGGGCAGGAGGGGCTTAAAATATCGCATGGGCTAGCTCCCTCCCTCGACCCAGAAAGAAACTAGCCAGAGATGCCGGTGGGCGTGGCTTGCTCGGGACCCACAGGTAGGGGAGTCTCTTCCTGGCCCAGGCCCCAGGCCCAGTCCCTGCTTCTCGGAAGGGATTTTGTGTAGGAATGAAAGTGATTCAGGGCGTGTTTCATGCTTCTGTTTTGGATGTAGTTATCGAGTCTGAAAGTGACTGAAAATGAAATTAACCTGGGCAGCTTTAACTTAGCAGTAGGTAACTGCTTGTGAACACTCCCTCTATTCACTTCCCAAGCGTTCATAGATAAACAGGTGAATTAGTAACAGGATTCAAGCCAGTGCGAGGTTTCTGTAAAGAGAACGGCAGTCACGGGACACATGGAGAAGAAATGCATTTCATCTGGAGACTGGGCTAGAGATGTAGGTTTTTTCATGTTTGGAACAGGGATTTCCTGCGAACCGAGCGTTAACCCTGCTGGTGAAGAAGTGACCACAAGGGAAAACCCTACCTCAGTATTTTCTCCCCTGGAGGTTGGTTAGATGTAGTTTTGATTGGAGACGGTGGCAGAATCTTGGTGTTCTTTTGGCGGCTACTTGAGGCTGAAATTGAGAACTTTGACCATGGGAAGCTGTGGAGGTGCCTGGCCCACTTCCTGTCCTGGAGGCCTTGCATGGATTCTGAGCTTCTTTCCTGCTTCATAAACATTCAGGGGGAATTGATCATGAAACACTGGATGAAATTGGGTCACAAATTACCATCAGGGAGAGTTGGCTGCTGCATAAACCCCTCTGTCCACTTGTGGACAAACTGACCCTATTAATGGTGGGACTTGCTGAAGGCCCCTTTCAGGTAGCTGTGCTCAGTTTTCAGGCTTTGTGTTTTGCTTAGGACACACTACATACTTAAATCTTCTTCATCCCTGCTCTGTTTGACCCTGCTGTATTTACCCAGGCGCTGTCATTTACATTTTGGGTTATTTAGGTTTTCCAAAACACAGCAGATCTTATGTACACAGTACTATATTTGAGAAATGCACTATCATCCATATTCAATCCACTGGAAGTCTTCCTTGCCTGTGCACAGACTGGATAACCTTTTATAATACCCTAAGACTCCCTGAATGGCACAGAATGCACTGGATTCCTTTACTTGATCACTTGCACTAGCTTAATTTGCCCTGGCTAGACCAGGCTGTGTTGCTCTATGGGACACCCATTTTTCTGACTGCTCAGACTGGCTTGCCGTGTGCACTGGGGGAGACAGGGCTTGTGGAAATTATTTTCTGATATTAAAAATGAGGCTTAATGACTGAAGAGCTCAAGATTGCTTGCTGGAACTGCAGGGGAGGATGATGAGCGATGTTTGGGAAAAAAATAAGCTAACTTTTTTCACAAATGAACTGGAAACTCCCCACAACTCTCCAAAGGCTTAGGAAATTAGTTTTCCCATCCTGAGGGATTGCAAGTGGTGCTTCCAAATGGTTTCTCTTTCCTAAAATGGGTGATGGAAATACTTCACGGCACGTTTCAAAGGGCCTAAGCTAAAACATGATTTCATGTGTGGTGTTCCATCTGTGAGTTAAAGCAACTCAGAAGAAGGTCATGACAGCCTTTTAACTGGTTGTAAAAGTATGCAGTGAAAGCAAAACTAGTTTTGCATTTCTTTAGGCTACATAGGAGCACAATTTAAACATTTACACTCTTTTTTTTCATTTCCTGTGTTTTCCTTTGAGCATATCCCATAGTATGTTTATTTCTGAAGGTCAATGAACATTAGCAAATAATACCTCTGCCCAGTGATACACAGCTGCACATACATTCCTACCTCAGCAATCTCAGTCCTTGAAACTGTGGAAATGAAAGTTATTTTGATTGAGGTAGCAGTGTCACAGTGATGTCACACAGCATCACTGTCCCTGACCAGCCTCTGTGTTCCACCTTGGCTCAGCCCCCTCTGTGTCCTGAGTTCTTACTCTTCCCAAGGGTCATCTCTTCTTTCTTTTCTTCCCCACATCTTATCAACTCCCAACTACAGGGATGACTTCATCTTTGAACCGCCACAGCACATTCTTTGTGTACCTGATTTATCATCTGTGACCTTCTTTCCTGCATTTAAAAAAAAAAATTTAAATTTTTTTAAGGTAGGGTCCCACTCTGTCACCCAGGCTGGAGTGCAGTGGCACAATCACAGCTCACTGCATCCTTGAACTTCTCAGTTCAAGCAGTCTTCCCACCTGGGCCTCCAAGTAGCTGGGACTACAGATGTGTACCACCATGCCCAGTGAATTTTTTAAATTTTTATTCTGTAGAGATAGGGTCTCTGCGGAAGGCTGGTCTCAAACTCCTGGGCTCAAGTGATCCTCCTACTTTGACCTCCAAAATACTGGGACTATAGGCTTGAGCCACTATGTCCTGCCTTAAGGTTTTTTTTTTTATTTTTTTTATTTGATTCATCTTTTCTTTAACAGATTCTGAACCCCTTGGGGGTAGACTGGTCTTGCCACTTATACACAATGAGTGTGCAACAAATAATTAATTGAATATGTGCGTGAATATTGAGTTCCCAGCCTGTCAATGTTTAGGCTCTTGCCTCCCACTGAGATGCGAGTGTTAAGAGACCTCTGGCATTCTTGTAAATCTGCTCAGAACCTCTGTCTGTTGTGGAAGGCTTTGACCTCAGGATGTCCAGGCAATGGGAGAATTTGGTCTGTTGCCCTCTTTATTTGGTAAATTTTCCGTCAAGTGAGTCATTTGTAGTCCTGAAGCTACATTGAAAAGCAAAAACAACAACAAAAAAAACAAAGCCAAATGCATACCCAACTGCATTGCCTGGTCAGCTGGCTGAATGGTTTACTTTTGCAGGTTAGTCTGTTCATATCAACCTGAATTCGAAATGCTGGGCAGAGCGTTTGTGATCCTGGCCTGGTTATTTTGTGTCACCTCTTCTTTCTACTATTGTATTTGTAATGTTTTTAAGAAAAGAAGCTTCAAATGCACTCTGAATTTAAGTGTTGCAGTTTCTTTTGAGACAGTTTTGGAAGGCGGGGTGTTAATGCTGCCCATTTGTTAGTGAAGAACTAAAACGCCATGGTGAGAGAAGAATGACATGTGCTAGTGCATGCACGCTGATTCATCGTTTGCAAAGTCCTCTGCACATGCACCATCATACTTAATAGTCAGAATAACATGGCACCCTTGGTTCTGGCCCTTGTTTCTAGGTAGGAGACTGGGAAAGACAGAGCTTGAATTTAGGGGTAAGTCCTGCAGGCAGCACATGAGGAACACCAACGCGTTGCTGGGTAGAGGTTTTTTTTTTTTTTTGAGGCAGTTTTCGGAACACAGTGTCCTCGGGTGTCTGCCTTTGCTGTGTCACAGCTGTGTGCAGATATTGGTGTAGCAGATTCTGGGTGTGAGTTGACTGTGAGGTTGAGCAGTTTGAGGGAGGCCGGCAGGAGCAATGTCAGTCTCTTGTGTCCTCACATCCTGGTTACAGGCTGATGTTACCCTGGAAAACCTCCTCAAGTTGAGAGAGCTTATTCCTCTTTAGTGCATGTATTAGTCAGCTCCAGGTGCTGTAAGAATAAAACATAGAGGCCAGGTGTAGTGGCTCATGCCTGTAATTCCAGCACTTCAGAGGGCCAAGGTGGGCGGATCATTTGAGATCAGGAGTTCAAGAGCAGCCTGGCCAACATGGTGAAACTCTGTCTCTACTAAAAATACCAAAAAAAAAAAAAAAAAAAGAAAAGAAAAAAAAAAAAAAAGAGCCAGGCATGGTGGTGCACACCTGTAATCCCAGCTACTCCGAAAGCTGAGGCACAAGAATTGCTTGAAACCAGGAGACAGAAGTTGCAGTGAGCTGAGATTGCACCACTGTACTCCAGCCT